CCATGGCCGCCAGCCCGGCCTACGGCGAGGAGAAGGGCGGCTCCTCCAGCCTGGGCGAGCCCGAGTACGGCCATGACCCCGCCAGCGGCGGCATCTTCTCATCCGACTACAAGAGGTGGGGACAATGCGGGCACAGGGGACAAGGACGAGCCTGCCCGTGCGGCCGCCACCGCAGGCCCTCGCCGCCATCCTCGGCGGGGAAGTGGTACCCGAGCCGGGGCTGGAGCGGCCCCCGGCGTGGGGACGGGGACAGGGACTGGGATGTGGAGGAGGATGGTGAAGCGGGTGTGGATAGGGATGAGGATGGGGACAGGGATGGGGCAGGGAATGAGGTCACTTCGCCGCCACCGTCATTGCAGGTTGCAGAGGCCGGAGAGGGTTTTGTAAGAACACCGCGGGATTTTGGAGGTGGTGCGGTTGGGGGAGATGTGCCGGGATCCCCCTTGAACCTCCCACCCTCGGGCTGGGGCATCCCGGACAGCGTGTTTCCACCACGGGATCCGCTGGGAACTCTCCTGAGCCGACACCCCCTGCCCCACCGCATCGAGGTCCCCAGCGTGGGGGGGTGGGTGCTGAGAAATGTCACCCCTGCGTGGGACAGGCTCCTGCGGGGGGACAGGGGTGAAGAGGAAAGGGGGAGTGTGCTCCTGGAGCTGCAGAAATGTCTCTTGGCCCTCTCTCCCTGCCATGTCTGTGTTCCCCACTCTGGCAGCGTCCCTCCCTCCCTGCTGCCCCAGCAGGAAATCACTGAATCACTGCCTGACAGCATCACGCTCTCTACCCCTGCCTGTGTCCCCCAGTCCAGCAGTGTCCCTCCATCCCTGCTCCTGTGGTAGTATCCCCACATGACAGTGTCCCTCTGGTCCCGATTCCCTGGCAGTGTCCCTCACTTTGAATGTGTATCCATCCTGATCTCTTGGCAGTGTTCCCAGTTTGGGAGTCTCCCCTCTGCCTGTACTCCTCCTCCCTAATGCTGTGGAGTGTCCCCCATTCTGGATGTGTGGATTCCATGTCTGGATCTGTGACATGCTGCAGTGTCCCTATCTCACCAGGTCCCCCCTTCCCTGGACCCCTGGCACTGTCCCCTTCTCTCTGATACCCCAGTATGACAGTGTCCACCCAGTCCTGAGCCCCTGGCACTGTCCCCCACTCTGGATGTGCCCTCCATCCATGACCTGTTAGCAGTATCCTCATCTCACAGTGTCCCCCCCATTCCTGACCCCTTGCTAGTGTCCCTTGCCGCTGCCTGGCAGTGTAACACTCCCTACCCCTGGCTGTGTCCCCCAGTGTGACAATTTCCCCCAGCCCTGATCTGCTGGCAGTGTCCTCCAGCTTGGCAGTGCCCTCTATCCATGACCCACTGGCAGTGTCCCCATGTCAGAGTGTGTGTCCCTGCCATGAGCCCCTGGCAGTGTCCCCCGGTTTGCCCAAGTCTCCCACTCTCTGACCCCTCCTTGGCAATGTCTGCCAGCCTGGAAGTGCTCCCCTGCTCCCATGCCTGCCAGTGTTCCCTGACCCCCACTGGAAGTGTCCCCCACTCTGGCAGTGTCCCTGCCCTCATGGCAGTGTCCCCTGACCCAGAGTGTCCCACACACCCATCAGTGTCACTATCATCAGTCTGCTGCCCTTCGCCAGAGCCACACCAGGTCTGTCACCACTCTCGTGAGCCATCCATAGCATCCATGACCCCTGGGGCAAGACAAATGCACCAAGTGTGAGCCCACCACCGAGGTTGGACACCCATGGGTGCCCTATCATGCCACCCTACCACCCAGGTAGGGTGTCCCATCACGATATGCGTTCCCTGCGCAGGACTGAGCCACTCGGCCCTGGGGAAGGAGCTCCCTGCAGTGTCCCCAAGTCCCAACTGCAGGTCAGATGTCACTTTGGACGTGACATCCCAAGTTCACCTCATCCACTGGGAACGGCAGCAGTCCTGATCTAGGCTGCAACCCAACCCCAACCACGGCATCAGGTTTCAGCCCACTGTGCTGGGCAGAGGAGCGGGGCCACAGCCCTGTCACCATCCCAGGGCCACTACCGCCACTCAAGCTATGATGTCCTTGCCGCCAGTGCAGAAGCTGCTGCGGCAGCTACCGGTGGGGCCAGCTGGCTGGCCGAAAACACCAGAGGGTGGTGATGTGGCCGAGGAGGTGACAAGCCCGGTGCTGGCCACCGAGGCTGGACAACCCACCTGCTACAGCGCCCTGCGAGCTGATGAGCTGCGGCCACTCGCCGGCACCAAGCCCGCAGTGGACACTGGCACCGGGCCACCGCCGCGGTAAGACTCCCCCAAGGAGCACCCCCAGGACCCTCTGGTGATGGTGGCTCTGGACGAGCATCATCCCACAGGTGTCACCCTCAGTTGCTGCAGGTAGACGCAGCCTTGCAGGTGCCCCCAGTTTAGGGGGGGAACACCAGTGTCCCTTAGAAAAGAGGACAGTGGTGACAACTTTAGAAAAGACTGTTGGCTTTTTCCCAGTCCAGGGAGGGGACCGGGGAAGGGCTTTGCATCAAGGTGTGCTGGCACATCCATGCCACTGTGTCCATGAGGGGACAAGGGACACCCAGCCACGCCAGGATGGAGCTGGTGATGGACTCCTGTGGTTTAGGGACAATGCAGGGTGACAACCACAGCCAGGATGGGACGGGGTTCTTGTCCCAGTGCCTGGGATGAGGATGGCACTGGGTGCTAGCACCATGCCAGTCCCTCCGGTTCCTTTTTCACCTGGCTGTAACCCAACTCCTGTCCCCATAAATATTTCACAATGAAGGGTTGGATTGCCAGCCTGATGGCAGGCTGGGAACAGAAAAAAAAAAAAAAAAAGACAAAAAGCAGGTAAAACTGTGAAAATGGGAATTTTTTTCCCCTGCTGTGTTTCAGGCATGATGACCTCAAGGAGATGCTTGACAGCAACAAGGACTCACTCAAGTTGGAGGCCATGAAGAGGATTGTGGCGGTGGGTATTGTCACTGGTGGGGACCACCGCTCGTGCCGAGCTGTGTCATGTTGTGCCAGCTGCCCACTGTCACACCACCTCTTTTGCCCCTAGATGATTGCTCGTGGTAAAAATGCCTCCGATCTCTTCCCAGCTGTGGTGAAAAATGTTGCCTGCAAGAACATTGAGGTGAGGAAGATCTCGGGTGGCCCTGGTGCCATCTTGGGGTCTGTCACTTTCCCTGTTTTTGGG